ATATAATTGTAAAAATAGTATTCTTATTAGTAGTAGTAATTTTTTTACATTAATTACACTTATTATTATTTATAATAATATTATTATTTTAAATAGAAAAAAAATGCATCCAAATAAACTACTTATTGTATGCTGTACACTACAAAAAACACATGTATTTTTAATTATGAAGATACTTGACACTTTTGGCAGTGTTTGAATTTATGTAAAAATATGTAATCTTTTTTACCTTTTTTATGATAGCATAAATTACCTGTGAGTAGTGCTGCATGATAATGGTTAAACTGATAATCACAATTATTATTATTATTATTCATAACTGTTCTCATTTGAGAACTTTCGTTTTACATTTAATCAGAATTATTGCACTTTCAAATAAGAGAATGATACCTCATCGGCAGGTTTCCTCATTTTCCCGATTTAATATATTTATCATATACATTAACACAAAAAAACTTTTTTTAAAACGCTATAACAATGACATTTTATGAATCATCATAATAATAACCCCACTAAATCCAAATTAATCATTCTTACAGTTACACATTTAATAGGACTTTTCATAGGACCTTTAATAGGTCTCTCTAAATTCCGTTTTTAGCCCTGGGTATAGGAATGTTTCACACGTAATTTAGAAGAGGGGTTAGCACCGCTGTTTATTCAGGAATATGAAACCCAGCTCCAGAGAAGCGTAAGCACCGCTTAAGTGTTATCCCTGCATTACGCAATACGGTGCCAAACGCGTACAGTGTGAAACGACTAGATGCTTTGGCTAGATGATTATGTGACTTTCTTTGGATTACAGACGCACTACTTGCTGTATAAATAGTTGCTTCAGCATTTAAGGGGAAAATGTGTCAACTCAAGTGATAAAGAGAGCGTTTCATTCTTACCTTTACAGTCTGAAAAGTAAAATCAGGAAAAACTGTTGGCAAAATATAGGCTAATAAAGGGGTGTCAAACTCAATTCCTGGAGGGCCGGAGCCCTGCAGAGTTTAGTTCCAACCCTGCTCCAACACACATACCATGTAGTTTTCAAATAAGCCTGAAGGACATGATTAGTTGGATCAGGTGTGTTTAGGGTTGCATCTAGACTCTTCAGGGCTCCGGGAATTGAGTTTGGGCTAATACATGTGCTTTTGTCCAATCACTAACACTGACATCGCACAAATGTTCAAATAAGAAGGTTATCCCAGGGTTACAGTCTAAAACATCATTTATGAATACTAATTGATACATTTTTAACCCCGGGTAAATAATGAGCAGTGTGACGCTTGCAGCAAGATAACAGGATTCAATTTACAATTATGCAGGGTTAGTTCAAGTGTGAAAACCCCTAAAGTACATCTCATTTGTTTTTAATTCCACTGTAATTCATGCAGTAAATGGACATCTGTGATCATCTCACATTTTTAAAAATAAAAACAAGTGCTGTGTGAATGGCTCCTTAGCACTTTATGTTCCATTACAGCTGAAAAGCTTCCTGTCTTGGCTGGGATGTGTAAATAAGAATTGAGTCCATTTTACTCTGACAAAAAAAAAGAGAAGCAATATCCCAGGAGAACATGAATGCAGCATGTCATCACACCCTGAGTTGTTAAAAACTAAAACGTGGATGCAACACAACAGCAGGACTTGTTAATGTGTGTGTTGTGTTGATCCCTGTTAAATACTTATCATCATTCAAACCTCAACTAACCTGAATGTTTGGCGCTGCTGGAAAACAGTGTGATGTGAATTATTGAATATCTTCAAGTTTTTCAAGGACGAAAATCGTGGCCTTGAGAATAGAGAGAAAATTACTGACATTAAGACCCGCGCAGATACTTCACTCCTCCTAGCGCTGTTTGACAAGTCAATTTTTATCCTTCTTCAAGGTTTTCCTGAATGTTTGGCGCTGCTGGAAAACAGTGTGATGTGAATTATTGAATATCTTCAAGTTTTCACCTTCAAGGACGAAAATCGTGGCCTTGAGAATAGAGAGAAAATTACTGACATTAAGACCCGCGCAGATACTTCACTCCTCCTAGCGCTGTTTGACAAGTCAATTTTTATCCTTCTTCAAGGTTTAGCTCATGTAAAACTTTTTCCACGATTTCTCTAACCTCCACCTCTGTGAAGTTTAGTTAACAGTGACGTCCACATTGAAACTCTAGTGTAATGTGAGTTGAATAAAAGTTCTGCAGCAAAGATGTTGAAAGATCTTTATTGTAAAGATCTTTTTGAAAACACAATGTCTGTTACATAATCTGGTGTCTTCGTCATGTTAGAGATGATCTTGATTTGAAACTGTTCTCTCTTCATCAAACACAAATCAAAGCATAGCATAGTAGAGCAACTAAGGGAAAACACACCAACTCCAGCTTGAATGTAATATTTGAACTTTGTATATTTCATATATTACTGTATACAGTCATAAAAACATTGGCATATAGGACAAATTCTAAACTGAGCAATTATCATATGCTTAGTTACAGAACACAATATTTAATTTGATCAATCATTTATAATACGTTTGAATCCTTTTTTCAAAGCTTGAATAGATGGTCAACATTCATTGCTATTATGATCAAGCACGAGCAGGGCCATTTTTTAAATTTCTCAGTGAAAAAGAAAGAAGGGAGTACAGAATTAAAACAACATCAGGTTGAGTGAATAATGATTAGATTTTTCATTTTTGGGTAAACTATCCCTTTGAACTTGATGTATGTCCATAACGAACTGCATTAACAAATATATGGTTCAATGAGTCATTTAAAAAACTCTTCTCACAGATCCATTGATAACCTGTAGTACATGAATGATCAACCCACCCTGAAAAATGAGTGTAAACACAGTTCTCTTTTTCATATCCATTGGGCTCTCCATGATTCCAGAACCTGCATCAACAGATCAGCATTAGATGTTCAGTGCTGTTTAATCTTTAATTTAATAACAACTACACCCTAACCAGTACAGACACCTTTACCACTTTAGGCTTTCTTCCATGCAAGGAGCACAGTAAGCAATTTTTTGTCAATGTTGAGCTCTCAGGTTTGGGTAAACTGGCTAAACATATACTGGAGCAAACTTGAAAGGATGAGGACATAGAATCATTCTGAAATATGTCCCGTGATCTTGTTGCTCAAATGACTCAAATTTCAAATAATAGGAAAGCTCCACTAAATGCACAATAAATGTAACATCAAATGTCAAAACCTATTAAAACATTTACTTTGTACATTGTCTGCCTGCTATGATTGTGAAGTCTGTATTGAATGCATCCTCAGAATAAAGAATGCATCTTTTTATGTAATTTTATGCATCTTGTACTTGCATTCTTGAGAATTGAAATTGAACTTTGGCGGTTGATGATGATGCAGAACATGTCCACATGGATGCAAGATTGCATCAGAATGCATACTGAGAAATGGACAAAATTCAATAAGGCAATTCTCATGCCATTTTTCTCAGTTCTAGTAGTAGTTCTACATTTATGAAACTTTTCCACTAGTGCCAAGCATCTTCTTGAATGGTTTGTGAGAACATATTAAGAACTATATATAGCAAGTATATGTACATTTACGATCTTTCTCTTTTCTCTTTCACTCACTTGTTCTTCTTTGTTGTTTATGATGATCAGATACAATCCTCTCTTCAAACAGTCTTTTGTCTGCTCTCAGTCCAGCTCTTACACTCAGAAGAAACATAGTAAAGATTAGATTGATAGTAAATCCATTTATCTAAACACAACCAGTTCAACTATTATCACTTTATTCCTATCATATGATTACTGTATATATTTTGTTTTTAATGCTAAAAGTCAGTATAATTGTATCGTTCATGATGACCCATTTCATGAAGACATTTCCACAGTTCAGTTGTGTAGTTTGTGTTCTCTGTATGGATGTGAACACACAGCAGCACCAAACACACTGCAGGTGCTCTGTAGTTTCTGTTCCTCACACAATAACTTCCTGAACACCACAGACATGTGAAAGGACCGAACATGTGCAAACTGTGATATTTTTACCTATTTATTCATTTTATCATAGAAGTGAAAGTGATTACCTGTCAAATCCAGCATCATCTCCACTGTCTCTCTGTCCATGTCCTGAAGCTCAGCCCTGCTCACACTCTCATAAATAACCTCAGATATCTCTAGTCTTTTATAGTCAGGCATTATAACACTGAATGTTGATTTGTTTAGTTTGGCTGCTCTGCGTGTCTCTGTAATCTGATTCTTCGGGTTACATGTCTGACGCTCTAATCAATTAGGCCACAACTGCCTTAGAATTAGAATAAGAATAAGTGAGATGATATACAAACACTTAATTAGATTATGTAGCTTGATCTATACCAAAAACTTATTTGTACACTGCAACCTCTAATGATAATCAGACTGGCGATTTTGTGACCTTGAGATCCTGACCAGCCGGCATGAGACTATACAAAATTGGATCCCTGATGAACAAATAACTGAAGAGTAAGAGAATACTGGAATAATCAAATATCCAAATTAGAAACAGAAATACATTGATAAATATGTGTAATTCGACTTCCTGGGGTGTTACGCATTCCGGGGGGAAGGGTTCATGGGTCCTCGTATGGCTTGTTAACTGAGGTTACAGAGTATTTGTTAAATATAAAAACAAAATATATATTGTGTGTTTGATTGGTCCAGACGCTACATATGTCAGTCTAAATTTTAGAATGATATGAAATTGAAGTCAGTTTAAGCAGAGCAAGAATAAAATTGAAACTAAATTATCATTTACTAAATTATTTTTGGTTTTATCCAATGAATCAGACTTTTTTGTAATTCGTTATTACCAGATAAGCAGTACTTAAATAATTTTACCCATAATTTCTACTCAATAAATATTTTAGAGCTTGGCATAACTAGAAAAATCTATATCTATTATATAAATGCTCATGGTATTTTAATAATTTATTAATTTATATGACTTTTCCAGGTCTAGAAATACACTTATTACACACTATAAAATCAGGCTTCCTCATATATCCAGGTTTTTCAAGAACTGTAATGCAGGTTGAGTAAAGGTTTCACAAAAGCAAACATGATGACTAGCTAATACAATATTATTGTGTTGTGGTTAATATCACTTTGAAGCATTTGCATTTTTTTCATGTTGGTGACCATGACAAACAAAACAAAGTATGGCTGCAGGTAATAGAACAAGAAAACAGCTCAAAACTGGATTGTACAGTATCTGACATTTGAACTCCCTTTCATATGTATATTTCAAATAGTCATATAAACACTGCCATACTAAGCAAATGGGGGGTGGTTTATAGGCCCCATGCACTCTGTCACTAGCAATGCCCCTGTTCAGTGGCTTACATTTTTCTCTTCTCACAAATCCAATTATATTCCTCTGTACATGGATGATCAGCCCATTCTCCTACAACTGTTAGAGCACAGTTCTCTCTTCTATGTCCACTGGGCTCACCAAACATCCAGAACCTGCATCAGCAGATCAGCATTAGATGTTCAGTTCTGCTTTCTGACACTGACTGTGAAAATCATTTATTACACAATGATCAGTTCAATCCATTGATTTCTCACCCAGGGGTCAGTGTGCTGCCATCAACCCATTTCCATCTGCCCTCTTCATCACTGTCAGTTAGACCAATCCAGACTCTATTATTATCAGACCATTTCCTAACAAATTCCTGAAAAGATGAAATTCTGATAAGGACAAAATTCAGCTGACTTTACATATACAGCACATCCATCTGAAGCAAACACACACAATATCTTTCACTCACTTGTTCCTCTCTGTTGTTTATGATGATCAGATCTGCTCCTTTCTCTCTACAGTATTTTCTGCTCTCAGTCCAGCTCTTCTTCTCAGAAGAAAAAATAGTAAAGACAGGATTGATCTGTAAACAAAAATAGTTCAACTATTAACTCTTCATTCTCTTCCACACTACACAACTTGTTTATAACAGTTTGTACCCAAGATTGTACAGTATACAACATGTTGTTAATGTTGAATGTTTGTATAGATGTGGTCATGATTACCCATTTCACCAAGACGTTTCCGCAGGTCATTGTTCTCTTGATTTAACTGTTGACTTTGTTTCATTAGATTGTCATTTTTTTTGGTCATTTGGTCTTTAAGAGCTTTGATTGTGGTTAGGAGCTGGTCTCTCTCTTCTGTGAGGTTGGTATTCCTGGTTAGTAGCCGGTCTCTCTCTTCTGTGTAGTTTGTGTTCTTTGTATAGATGTGGACACACAGCACTGTGACTGCAGCCAGCAAAAGAACACACAGCAGCACCAAACACACTGCAGCTGCTCTGAAGCTTCCTGAAGATGACCGATATGAAGATAAATATTTCTTAACACTAAAATGACTAAGATGTGTGTGTTAGTTGTTATAATGAAATGAGTCTCAGTACCTGTGTGTCGAGGTGTTTGGTGTCTCTTGGTGTCGAAGTTCTCCTTTTCTGTCCTGGCATCATGAGCATCTGCATTAGCATAGATATTCATCTCCTCTTCATCTTCACCCATCCCATGTGTCCCAGGAATGTTCATATTGCCATAATAAGACATATTCAGTCTGCTGGAGTTAAATGTGAAATTATTCGATGTTACTGCTTCATGTAGTCCGCACTGCTCTGAACTTCTGCTTTTGAACTTTTTCTTTTTAAATGCACCACTGTGGCCAAGAACATGTGATATCTTCTTAGGGTACTTTTGTTGAGTATTGCTAAAATAAATTTTTTCTTGTACTCATTTATTGCAGTTTATTATGAGAAGTTATTTTTTTTTCATATACTCCTTTACCAAAATTGCACTCTTTCTATAACAAACACATTGGTTGAGAACAATAGTAGTTGCTTTTGGTAACGTGAACAAGCACTGTTTGAACTGATGTTGTTATAGTCTATTTTGCATTTGTTTAGGTTTGGAGAATGACATGCCACTCCAATCCCAGCTCTCTTAGTCATGTAAAAAGTACTACTAATGCTACTATTTGTGTTTCAGAACCTAGTGAGTTGCCCTGCTGTCTACTGGCAACATCCAGCTGAAATGGAACCTCATACATGACTTGACAAAGTTTTTATGAAATAGTTTATACATTATTATTTTTAGTTAAAAGGCCTGTTTTAATAACTAATTGATTGATTTTTATTTAGCCACAGACAAATTGCACCTTCTTGTAATGCTGAATGTTGTTCCTGTATTGGTCTGTGTAGTATAGCAGCTCTACTATTTTTTTCCCTAACACGAGTTAAAACAAAGCGGAAGGCAAAGTGTGAACAGTGTGACATGCAGAGTTATTTTTTCCCTCACATGTCTATAGGTTTATTAGGATTAAAGGAATAATTATATTTATACTGTATAATCACAATGAAAACCATTCACACTTTATCTGTGAGGAATTCTACATGGAGGCGAAAGTAGAATCCAAATGCAGGAAGTTTAAATCCAGCAAACAAATCCATGTCACAAAGTAGAAACTTAGTCAACAAGGCAGGCACAATGGTCATAAAAGGAAGGTAGTGAAACAGGCAATGGAGAAGAAAAAACAAAAGACCGCTCAGTAAGGAAGTGAAAATGACTGGCAATACTTTGCAAAGTATTTAGAGAAGGACATGGCTATTTATTTCAAATGTCTTTATTATTAGATTTTCTGCATGGAATATCAACTCAACAAATTACAACATTCATTTTATACAATTATTCTTCTATGTTATTACTAATACTACCTGTTAGAAAACACTCTCTGTTTTGAGAATGCCTTACCCCTCCTTTCTCACTCTTTCTCTCTCCTTCTCTGAATCACCCCTCCTCTATCTGTTCTCTCTCTCTCTTGTATGGTGTTTGAATGTCTCTTACTCAATATTCAAGGTAAAGGAGTTTGTGCTGATTTATAAGGGGGGTTCAGCCTCCGTCGCCAGGAAGTCTATTCCTTATAGGGATATGTTTTTCTGTATATGTGGCAATTTTATACAAAACACATGTTCTTGGGAAAAACATCCTGTATGGGTATGTCCCCCTATCCTCATTGGTTAAGAGGGTGAAAACTCCCCTCGACATGCCTATATAAGATCTGTATTTCTGTGAATAAATTGAAGTATTTGAGAATACATTTGAATGTGTGTTTTCTTACTTCCCGGCCGTATTTATTTACACTTGGAGAGACTGAGAAGATTTCACGGTGGCAAAGAGATATCGAGGGACCAAATTGTTATTTATTAACACTACCCCACTAAATACTTCCCTCCCTTTTCCAGAGGAAAAAAAAAGGAAAAGAAAAAAAAAATCTGGGGGTTAAAAATAAATAAATAAATAAATACATTTTAATAATAATAATATAAAAATGTAATGCTTTATGTTTAAAAAACAAATAAAAATTGTATGTTTATATATTAATGCACAGCTTAAGTATCAAGACAGTTAGTCAGCAGATAATCTAAAAAGGGGCGCCACACCTTGTCAAAGGTCTTTAACGAACCAGTGAGTGAATCAAATTTTTTCCAATTTAATGCAAGTAAACACTTCTTTTAGCCGTGTATCAAAGGAAGGGGGTGAGACGTGCGTCCACTTCAAAAGGCTGAGACGTCTTGCTAGTAAAGTAGTAAAGGCTAAAGCCTTTTGGACCGTTACTGAAAGGTTAACATCTACTGCCAACCCAAAAATGGCCAAAAGTGGATTTGTATCGATATCCATGTCGAACGCATCTTTCAAAGTTTTAAATATTTTAGTCCAATAATCAAATAATTTAGGGCATTCCCACAACATGTGAATGAGGTCTGCTGGTGATTGCTTGCACCTATTACATGCGTCGCTGATAGAGGGGTATATTTTGGCAAGTCTAGCATTAGTATAGTAAACCATATGCCGAATCTTACATTGTATAAGCCCATGCCTTGCGCATATAGATGAGGTGTGAATGAGCTCAAGAATACGCTCCCAGAGTCCATCAGATAATCCCAAACTCTCTTCCCAAGCACCTCTGGCCTGATTTGCAGAGCCTGAATTAATATTGTGAATCAGATTATAAATGACAGAAATACAATGTTTTGAGTGTGGTTCAAGCTTTAAAAAGTCATCCAATGGAGATTCAGGGGGACGATTTGGAAAATGAGGGAATAGTTTTTGCACAAAGTGCCTGACTTGAAAGAAACAAAATAAATGGGAATTAGGTAGATCGAATCTCTTAGAAAGGTTATTAATGTAACGGAGCCGACGAGACGAGAGATGTGCGTATCCATCTGCAAAGCTTTTATTTAAAGGCGTGGTCATAAAATAGGCAAGGTTCAGACAATGGCAAACAGATATATGAGGGAAAGACAAAGAGTAATTCAAAACGGGCGTGAGTCAGTCGACAGCAAACGTTATCCAAAGGGCTTGACAAGAGGGGCAATCCAATAACACGAGCAATAGTCCAGGCAGGCGCAAACAGAGTCCGAACAGCAAGACGAAAGGGCAATCCGAGAAACACAGGCAGGAATCAGAACACAAGAAAACAGGCAGGGCAAGACTCAGACTAAACTATGAAGACCAGAAATGGCTCCGTAGAGCAGCTATCGCTAGGTGAGAAATATGCGCTAAACAATACTCGCCGTTGAATGGTGGTGTGAGACTGATTTATATATTGTGTGTTATTGGTAGCAGCTGTGTGTGATTGGTTTCAGGTGAGATTGTAATTAGTGCAATGGAGCATGGGAAATGTAGTCCAGGGTGATGTGTAACAGTCTGTGTAGTGTGAGAGTCAATGTATTGAGCGGGTGACCTCTGGTGGTGAGTGAACGGAAGTTCATAGACCGGATTCGTGACAATTAAAGGATGAGAAAATACCGCTCTCATAGAGATCATCAATGGTCTTTATGCCCTTATTGAACCATATTCGAAACGCCTCATCCATAATGGATGGTGCAAAACAGTGGTTTTTAAAAATTGGAGAAAGGATAGAAGACCTATGCAAACCAGTGTGCTTCCTAAATTGAGTTCATATCTTAACTGAGTGAGATACTACTAAATTTGAACTAAAATTGGCAGGTAAAGGTAATTGAGAGGATTTAACAGAGTTTAGAGAGAGGCGCGCTGAGGACTGTTCTAGGTAAGCCCAACAAGGGAGTTCAGAATTTATATTGTTCCTCCAATATAATTTTTTTTGGATATTGCAAGCCCAATAATAGTGTAAAAAAGTTGGGAGTGCGAAACCACCTTTATTTTTAGGGAGCTGCAAAGTTGTTTTCTTAATTCGAGCTGGCCTATTTCACCATAAAAAAGAAGTGATACGTTTGTCCAAATCCATAAAAAACGTTTTCTTAAGGTAATTGGAACATGTTGAAATAAGTACAAAAACTTGGGAAGAACAGTTATCTTGATTAGGCTTATACGCCCAGCAAGAGAAAAAGGGAGGTTAGCCCAGCGTTCCATGTCAGATTCACAATTTTTAAGTAGGGGGACAAAATTAGAGACATACATTCCAGTTAAAGATTTGGTCACAAAAATACCCAAATACTTAAATCCATCGGCTGCCCATCTAAAAGGGAAAAGTGAATGTGTAAGGTTATTTGCCAAAGAATTTACAGAACAACTCACTCTTATGAAAGTTAATTTTATACCCTGAAGTTTTACAGAAATGATTTAGAATGTTCAAAATAATAGGGACAGAAACCACTGGGTCAGAAATAAAAAGTAAAAGATCATCAGCATATAAGGATAATTTATACTCTCTATCTACCCTTTTGATACCTTTCAAATTTACATCCTCATGAAGCCAGATAGCTAAGGGCTCAATGGCAATGGCAAAAAGTAAAGGCGACAAAGGGCAGCCCTGCCTAGTGCCCCTCTGAAGCAAAAATGGAGATGAAAACACACCATTAGTTAACACGGATGCCTGCGGAGAGACGTACAATAGTTTTACCCAGGAAATTAACCCATCATCAAAACCAAAACTTTCCATTACACGAACTAGATATCTCCATTCCACTCTATCGAACGCCTTTTCCGCATCAAGAGCCAAAACCACTTCTGGCACATCTGAATTGGGCATATTGAGAATATTGATAAGTTTCCTTGTATTATAGAAAGAATGTCTTCCAATCATAAATCCTGTTTGGTCAGCCGAAATTATTTGGGGTAACACTTGTTGTAACCGCAAGGACAAAATCTTAGTTAAAATTTTATAATCCACGTTCAAAAGTTAAATGGGTCTATAGACACAAAAGGGGGTCTTTGTCTTTCTTGGCAATCAAAGTAATTGATGCTAATGATAAGGTGGGAGGTAAGCAGCCCTTGGAAAAAGCCAAATACATAACATATTCCGTAGTGCAGGTGCTAATGATGTAGAAAACACTTTATAGAACTCAGTGGTGAATCCGTCAGGACCTGGTGACTTGCCACTTTGTAGAAGTTTGACCGCTTCCACCACCTCAGAGATTGATCTGGGTACCACGATATTGAAGCTTTCCTCTTAGCTTGCGGGCTTCGCGAATAACCAACTCCTTTGTTTGGAACTTATGAAAGCGAATAATCACAGATCTAGGTCTCTCCCCCGGCTTCAGTTTCGCTGTGAGGGCGCGATGAGCACGATCCAACTCGGGAGGAGAGGCAAAGAGGCTCGCGCCGAAAACTTCCACTAAGAGCTCCGAAAAGAAAGTGGACGGATGAGGGCCTTCAATCGTCTCAGGTAGGCTGAAGATTCGTATATTGTTTCTCCAGCTCCTACCTTCTAGATCCATAACTTTGGCTTTGAGTTTAGTGTGCTCGTCAGCTAAAGTTGCGTATTTCGACTCCAGTGTTCCGAAACTCACGCCGCTCGCGTCTGCATTTGCTTCAAGTGAGAGAAGTCGCTGTTCATGATCGTTCACAGTTGTGTATAGTGTGTCCAGCTTCGCTTCCAAGGTGGAAAACGCCGATTTAAATTCGGAAGACAATGCCGCTCTGTGTTCTTCCAGTAGAGTTGTCAAAATGACAATATCTGCTAAGCTCCCGCTAGCCTGTGCTTCGTCTTTCTTAACTTCATCTTTCCTAGTGTTGTGTTTAGATTTCAAAGCCATTATCACCCAGAACGTTTCAAAGTAGTAGACAGACTAATATACTGGTTTAGTAAGTAGTTGATTGGCCAAAAAAGAAACTTTATAATTAAAACTGTGGGAGCGTGGGGCGTGACGCAGCTACTACCCACACATGCCATCCGGAGGTCCGGGCATGGCTATTTATACAATAGTTCCACTCCACTTTTAAACACGCGCTAACGAACTTTCCTAAGCACTTCCCCTCGGGGGTATCCCCGCTGCCATTTTGAAGTGCGTTCCACTTCGTGAAGTGAACCAGGGAAGTTTATATGGACAGACCCTCGACCCCTCGATTTTGACAGAGGGAGCGAGTCTGCATCATATGCACACTTCAGGCCACTCCACAGACCACAATGCAATACGATTATGACGTCATCACAGATCGCGTTCAATTTATCCCCACCCCAAACAACTCTATAATATATAAATTATTTTTTAAAAACATTTATAACAGCCCAAACATACCTATATACATATAGAATCCTGCACCAAACAAATTCGTAAGGGGAAAAATGTAAACAATAAACCAACTCTATAGCAGATTCTAAGTGATCAAGAGTTTAGGACGTTCCGGTTCAGCCCATTCCAAGCGTTCCACCATAGTGGGCACTTGTGCAACATACCCAGATAACAGACAATAACTTCTAATTATAGAATGTCATCATCTTCCGAGTTTTTTTTTTTTCTGTCCCGGGGTTGATACGATGAGCATTTACACATTGTTTAGATTTTTATGTTCAAGGAAGCAACAAATTACTTGAGTAAGGTACTGATATTACTGTGCCTTTAAGAGTGCACCTTAATGCCGAGTTCACACTGCACGATTGTAGCCCCGATTTTCACTCGCAGACAGTTTTTATGAAATCGCCGACAAATGCCCGAAATCGGTGCTCGTTTAACACGAGTGACAATCATGCAGTGTGAATTATCAAAGAAACGATCTGAGAGAATCGCTGACGACCATGAAATATTTGGCATGCTAAATATCTAGACCTGTCGGTGATTCAAAATCCTGCTGTGTGAAATTAGTTCATGCCTGAAAAATACATCGGCGATGACCTACAGTCAATGAGAGAGCAAGTTCGGGGAGGAGTTATATCCTTATTACTTCTTGCGGGCATTTGGTTGTGAAACGTAGTTTGCAGACCAGACTATCGGTGTGTTCCAAACGGAATATATCGCCCTCTGAAGGACACTTCAGAGTGAAAACAGTTATGGCCACCATATTGAAGGGTCATGCCAAACCAAAGTGCTCAAAACTGGCCACTTCAAAGGGCCCTTCAGAATGAAGGATTTCGAAGGGTACAACTGATGGACACTTCGGGTCCCCATGATCCTTTGCACAGGGAAGTTGTTTGGTGTCACAATGTTCGACTTCACCTATAAATGTATGTTTAGTATTTTTCAATACTACTGTAATATTTAGATTTGGTACATTACTTCAAATACATTACAGCTACCTTTATCAGTCCATTCAAATGTTTCAAATACATACACAATATACATTACAAATACATATTACATTACATATACAAATATACATTATATTTATCATAAAATATGTTTGAGAGTCAACCAGCGTACAAAATGTGCGACGAAGGCGCCTCCTTGATCGTCTCGTTAAGGTGACGCGCAGAAGTGCGTTCCAAAAAAAGAGGTTTTTTTTACCCATACACCCTTCATTCCTTCTAAGCTCTCCCTCCGGAGGGTAAACCCTTTGAAGGGATTAGGGTGTAGGGATGAGCACTTCCGAATGTAACGCAGGGAGAGTTGTCGATGATTCTTCCTATTGAAAATTCATGCAGTGTGTAACCTCTTGTCGCCGATCCATCGTGCAGTATGAACACAGCAGCAACTGAATGCTACCCCAGATACAGTCTGAAAACAACGGTGATCCGACGACTTAAAAAAATTGTGCAGTGTGAACTCAGCATTAAGGAAAACATTTAAAACATTTAGAGGAAATTAAACTAATAAGTGATGTCTGTCACTAAGAGACATTTCCTCAAATAACACGTCTAGCACAGCATATTTGTGCATGCATATGTCAGGATGTCCTAGTGCAATATTAGCATTAGCCAGAGATGTCAGCAGGTATCAGGTCATGTCTCTGTAGAAATAAGCATTGAACTTTCTCTAAAGTTCTGCTGCCTCAAGCAAAGCCATAGGATATGTCTAGGAAGTGAATATTAGCCAGATTTAGCCGTTAGTCTAGCGCTAACATTAGTCTGTTCTTTCTAGTGTGAGGCTGCAGATGCTGCTAAAATTGTAGGGTTGTCTTGGTGAAACATTATTTAGAAAGAGCAAATCTGCAGAATGCAATGTGGTGAAGGGGTTAAAGTGAATAAAGTGCACACTGAAGCATCTCAGATGTGATGGACCACACAGCACTGGCTAAAGTGTTAAATATCAGTTTCCGCTCAAAGAGAGGTAGAGTAGCTGGAAATATTGATGCAGCTACAGAAGGAAGTGCCTGAAATAAAAAAGATGTAGGCCTATGTGCAGCACCATCTTTCAGAGTCACTTCCCGACAACTACAGCCATGAATTTCAAAATGTGTCTCTATATTCTCATCAGTAACACAGAGGCAGCCAAACACCTGTAAACTATTTCAACAGTTACTCTTTAAAATTTACTTGTAGGGTCTCGAAAAAAAAAGATGTGTGTGTCCCCATCCCCCAGGCCCAATGATTGGACTTGTGCTTTCCCTCAGTTGACATAAGCATCTGCTAAAGGGTTAAATGTAAAATTATCACAGCATCCTACTTCCTCTATATTAGTCACAGTAATGGTAACATCAGATACATACACTGAAACACAGATCAAAATAATGATTAAATACAAATAAAGTGTATTAATAGAACAGATTTATTTAGTGTATCTTTTTATGTTGTGAATATAGGTTTACTGCAAAAGACATCTAATGAGTGTATATAAGAGACAAGAGAGAAAAACCTTTTTGTCTCTTCATAATTTACAGCATAAAAAATGTGATATATAACTCATTTTAAAATGTTTTTCTCACAGATCCACTTAAAAGCATTATTACATGGATAATCATACCACCATGATGCATAAGACACAACACAGTTTTCTCCTCTGTGTCCATTGGGCTCTCCAGACCCCCAGAAGCTAAAAATACAGATCAGCGTTAGATGTTCAGTGCTGCTTTCTGTGTGATATAATGTTGAATATGAGAATCATTTATTAGATAATAATCAGTTCAATCCATTGATTTCTCACCCAGAGGCCAGTGTGCTGCCATCAACCCATTTCCATCTGCCCTCTTCATCACTGTCAGTCAGACCAATCCAGACAAAAGTGCTAACAGACAATTGCTTAACAAGACCCTAAAAAGAGGAAACAACTACACTGTAATCTGATCATGCCAAAATTCAGTTGACTTCACACAGACATACTTGTATATCATTCTGAAGCAAACACACACATACAGTACATTGGGTTTTTGTGTTTTATGAGTACTTTCCATAGACGTGATTTTTACACTGTACAAACTTTATTTTCCCTCCGCTTACCATAACCCTACCCCTAAACCTACTCCTCACACAAAACTTTCTTTAAAAATTTTTTTTTTTAGATGATTGCATGATTTATAAGCTGTTTTCCTCATGAGGACCCCCCAAAAAATGTCCCTACACAAAAATGACTGGTATTACTATTTGGTCCCCATGATGTAAGAAATACCAATTACACTCAAACAGACACACTCACACTCACACTCACACTCACACACACACACAGAGTATATTTCACTCACTTGTTCCTCTCTGTTGTTTATGATGATCAGATCTGCTCCTCTATCCTTACAGTCTTGTCTGCTCTCAGTCCAGCTCTTCTTCTCATAGGAAATGAAGTAAAGACTGGACTGATAGTAAAAAACATCCACCTGTTAACATAAGCAGTTTAAGTATTAGGACTTTATTCCCATCCACACTGAACTACTCAACTTTTTTATAACAGGTTTTACCCAAAGTTTGTATAGCTGTGGTGTAGGTCATAATTACCCACTTCATGAAGACGTTTCCGCAGGACATTGTTCTCCTGCTGTAACTGCTCTCTTTGTTTCATTACAAAATCATGCTTGGATAATAAATCTTTCTTTTCAATTGTCAGGTTGTTGTTCTGGATCACTAACTGGTATTTCTCTGTTTTGTAATCTTTGATCGTGATCAGTAGCTGGTCTCTCTCTTCTGTGAGGTTGGTGATCTTGGTTAGTATCTCTTCTGTGTAGTCTGTGCTGTTTGTATGGATGTGGACACCCAGCACTATGACAGCAGTCAGCAGAAGAACACACAGCAGCACCAAACACACTACAGCTGCTCTGGAGCTTCTGATCTTAACGGAATCACTCCCTGAACAACACAGGCATGATGTTAAATTAATGTGCAAATTTTGACATTTAATCAAAGAAATTAATGTGATTACCTGTGTGCTGAAGTGGTTGGTGTGTTTTTGTCTCTGTCCTGAAGTCATGATCTCTCACATGATCTACACTCTCGTAGATATCCACTATCATCTCCACTCTCTCTCTCTTCATTCCCTCAGTCTCAGTCCTGATATTGTCATAAATGGTATCAGCCATCTCTGCTCTTTTTAAAGTCCAACACTAATATTCTGTGATGATGAATGTTATTTCGGTGTCATTCAGCTCATAGACTAACTAAAATAATAACTAAACACAACGGAACTGGAATGCAGTAAATATGTGAGGCAGGGGCATAGCCAGAAATGTTTAAGTGGGTGGGCCTACATAAAACAGGGTGGCCAAAGTGCACCATATGAAAACTGCATTTCAGATTGCCAACAGAAAATACAGCACAAAGGTTCAATACACAATACTTCTAAAGCATTGATTAACATTAATGTTAATATGAAAATTTACTAATACAGTATTAAAATTAAAAGTTATATCTGTTTATATTTGCACCTGAGCTAACGTTAACAATGATTTATAAACACTGTAACATACTGTATATTGCTCACTGTTGATTTTAGTTAATGCATTAACTAACGTTAACTAAAGGAAGTTATTGTAAAGCATTCCCTCAGGCTGAGACAATGGGGCTTCGCAGATGATTTCATAAGTGTCTCTGTTAGTTTGCATTCAAAGGAGAGTAAACATCGAGGACCATAGAAATGTGTGCAGCTACAAATATGTAGTTTATTGTGGAGAAGAGTATCTAGCACAATGTTTATGTGTTTCTTTCCATGATCAAACACTACCTATGCTAATATGATGCTTCAAACACGCTCGGCTCAAAAGTTTCCAGTCTATAAATCCATCACCTACAGGTGGTCGGTCGGGTTTCATTTGTAGACGGTCCGGATTCATTGCTAAGACTTTTACTTTTTAAAGAATTAATCTGATTGATGTTTGCGTCATTATTTTCAAATTCAACCCCATGAACGTGCGTCGAAAACCTAATATTGTGGGTGGGATTAACAGAAACTCATGAATCATAATTTTGACAAGTGTATGGCATGCCCCTATAGGAAGAGGGAAAACTAAGTGACAGTGCAAAGTGTAAGAGCAAGTTATCTTAGCCAAAGATGTCAAGACTTCAGAAAATTTCAAGTCTTCAAGAAATGTCATTCTTGTCGTCTTTTTTGTTCTTTTTCAATTCATCAAGTCAGCAGGCCCTACGCCGTGCACAGAGGAAAATATAGACTCATTAATGAAAATACATGCTAATATTGAATTGTTTATAAGTACAGTCAACCCAATGTTGAGAACATGAGAAGTCCTCAAAAAGCAATGAATAAAATATGCAAGCACTAGTCTTAATTAAAAGTTCTGTTTGTGGTTGGATGCTTTGCATGCGGCAACACAACGATGACTGTACAGAGTAATTACCTTCATTGAAGAAGGGACTGGAGTCATATAGTGACCAGAATGCATAGAGACTTGGGGGAGGGCACTTTTGACTTGGGCCAGTAAAAATCCATTCTGAACATAGTAGAAACACAGTGATGGCTTAAAGTTAAAATGGCTTAATGATGGATTTGTTTCTAAAAAGCACACAGCTTTTCAATTCACAAGACATTAACTGATGAACTAGAGTTGTGTGGATTACTTGTGGATTATTGTGATACTTTTAGCAGCTGTTTGGACTCTCGTTCTGATTGTACCCATTCACTGCAAAGGAATTTCCATTTTTGAACTATTCCTTTAATGGTTTCATTTTTAGAAAATGTTGTGTTCAAAAACGGATATAATTTGAGTTAATCTGTTTGTAAATAACTGCATCATTCATCGTGGTATTATTTTAAATGTGCTCAGAATCCAGGAAATTCTACATTATTTTCCATGTTGTTATTGTGAACTGAAGTACATAAAAGTCACGTTGCTCTTTTCCATACAATGAAAGTGAGTGGGGACCAGGGACTGTCAAGGTCCAAAAAGGACCATAAAAGCATCATAACAATATGTCATACAAATTATATTCCAAGTCTTCCAAGTCATTCAATAGTTTTGAGTAACAGACTGAAATTGTAATTAATCATTGTAAATCTTACTATTTACTTCATATAGAAAAGAGCAACTTGAACATTCTGCTAAACATTTCCTTTTGTGTTTCACAGAAGAAAGAAAGTAATGTGAGTCTCAAAAGACATGAGGCTGAGTAAATGATTTCAGAATTTTCTTTTCTGGATGAACTTCAAACTAGTTTAACAGGGCAGGTAAGGTACCATGAATGAAAATGAGAAAAAAGGAATATCTCAGACACGGTATCCTCATCAGAGCCCCTGAAGGGAGGATGTAAAAGAGGGGAAAATAACAGCTTCTTCTTAAGATGTGCTGTTTAATGGATTTTGGGGAGCAGAATCAAAGAGGCAACAGATAATTTTTTTTTTTACAAAAGAGTGTGTGCGTTTGTGTGCATGTGAATATGCATCTCTTTTACTTAGTTCAGGACAATCATCCGTATTACGCTGCTATGTGCTCTAACCCTTTATAGGGTGCTCATTTCCCTCTCGTCGTTGGTGGTTCGTTGTCTCCTATGTTGTCCGTGTACACTATACCTTTATCTATCTGCATTATCTTGATTGCCATCTTTGTCTTCAGTGCCTCCGTTTGTCGTCAGTGTTCTTATTACCTCTGTCTACAGTACCTTTGGGTGTCTCCATTTCCTTTTGTCATCATTATCTTTGTCAGCATTTTCCTTGTCTCCTCTTTGGTTGTGTGTGTGAATTCTCTGTGCTGTTGCTGTTAGTCTTGTTTGAGTGTTTGTCAGTCGACTTCGATTAGTCCAGTTTCCCTCTCATTGGCCCCAGTTTCCTTGTCTCTGTGTTTTGTCTGTAGTCTAGTATAGTCCTAGTGGTTTCATCCTTTTATTGTTAGTCCTGTACTCTTTTTCGATTTTTTTTTTTTTTTGGTTATCCTTGTGTCGTGAGAAGTTCCAGTTTTACTTGTGTTATTTTATTTCTTTCAGTTTCAGGACGGTTGCTGTCTTGTTTCTATTTTGGGTTATAGTTCCTGACCCTTTTTCTCCCAAGTTTTTCAGAGGGTTATCCCTTTTGTTTTGAGATTTCAGTTCTTATTTTTAGTACTTATTTTATAATTAGTTTTTTTTTTCTTTGTCTATTTTTTCCCAACCCTCGTTATTTTGCCGTTCCCATTTTTGATCTGTGTCTTCTCTTGTCTCCCCTGTTGTCTGGTCATTGAGTGTGTCTGCCGAGTGGTTCCTGCCCTGCTACCTGTGTTCCCCCTGGTTGTGGATTCTCCTGACCTGGCAGACCTGTTTGGAGCTTCAAGAGTCACCACCCCCAGGGCCAAGCCTGTGGTGCCTTGAGCTGCTATCTTAGCCTCCTCTTGCCACTGAGTCTGGAGTTACCCCCCCCCATCCGTGACCAGCTTGTTCTCTTATTTTGTACCCTGCCTTGTTGTGTGACTGTCTCCCTGCCTTATCCTATTGTGTTCTAAGTTTGCTAATAAATTGTTTCCCCTGTCCATTCTGCAGTTGGGTCCTTCCTTGAAAACCTTGACACCAAGGACATTTCACTTGAAAAATAAAACTATAAATAATAAATAAAAATCTCATATCATTAAAAGCAGAATGCGCATCAGTGAGAGGCATGAGCTCAGTTTTGAGTATCTTACACAGACAAAAGCCATATTTTACAGGTATTCATATCACTGTTTCCCTCTACTGCATTACAGGATTTGGTCTTTAGAATTACTATTGATTTTGTTTGGCTCTTTCATTAAACTACAAGGCAAGAAACATTACTGAACTCTCATAAGTGGGTTTGCCTAAGACCAAGTTAGCAGTTCTTATCCTTTTTGGGGCCTTTTCTTCCCCCATTGTGTGTTTCAACTTGTTTCTTTTGCCTTTGTACAAGTTGTAATGATCCGGCAGATATGATGATTTCTTAAACAAGCTTCTTTATCTTTTGTTTCTTTGACAACACAGACTTATTCTTGAGCCTGTATAGGCACTAGGGTGTTTTGTTTTCTAGGGGGCTTTCTTGAGTCTTTCTGCTTCGGCACATTGTAAAAAATAATCCTAAAATCAAGTAAATAATACAGGAATATAACTAAAATTTACTTTGATGTTGTTTGGGTTAACTTACTATTACAAAATCTAACTTTAAGGAACACAAGTAATGCATTCCGGTGCAGCTATATGTGTATTGAGTCAGTGGTTTTAAATGATTATTTAATTCTGTTTTATATATATTTTTTGTCCTTTGAATTCATTGTAATATGCGCTTTTATAATATACAGGTGCAAATGAACTTTTCCACGACATTCTAATTTATTGAGATGCACCTGTACTATGCATCCATTTTTTTAATTAACTTAAATGTGTTTTAAGTTTATTAAGCTTTTTTTCATTTAAATTGATTAATCTTTACACTAACAGTACTATATTGAACAATTTAAAGTAACACTATGTAGTTTTTCGACCTTAAAATAATGTCTCTAAAATTATTTCAGTGGTAGAACACCTCTCAACCGGACGAATTCTACTGCTACCTGACCAGCCTCCTAGCCGCTAGAACCACACTCTGGAGAATTTATACATGCGTCAAGTTTTCCAATGAAAAACACTTCCGCAAAGGATACACCTGTTTATCCTCGCTCATGACTCCTCTGGAAGCCTCCTCACTTCTCGATCCTCGCGGTGCAATTAGAGAATTGAGATGTCCTTTAAGATGGCTGAGCTCGATCGGTTTCCGGGTCACAGGATGGAGAACGGAGAACAAGGAAACGAGGAGGGATATTTGCGGTGTTCCCACCTTTATCTTTGTACCTCTCTGCTGAGGAAGTCTTTCAATTATTTATTTATTTCCAGCAGATAAATTACACCGAGGATGACCATCTGTGAGAGTAATGCTTCTTCTTCAGTCGGTAAGAATGTGAAAGATGGTTCCCGGTTCCAGGAAGAAACGTAATGACCGGCTGATGTGTTGGGATGCACACATTCATGCATGAACTCACAAATACACACTCCTCATTCCAATTATCTTGCACCTGTCTGACTTTCAATACGAGAGACTTTACTAAAGTAATGTTCCCAGCATGGGTCTATTCTTAGATCCATGCTAACACAGCCTGGATGTCCCTACTAGGTCAGATATGGCTGAATGGCACATGCTGCAAACTAATGAGCTCA